ATAATATTTATTTATATATTTATTATAAAATTTAGTTATATATAATATATTTAATATATTAAATCTAATTTATTTAATAAAATTTAATGAAACGAGGTTGCGAATTTCTTTTTTTATGATTACGAGAAAATATATTGTGAATATTAAATCACAGAGGGTTTTAATAACTACCTTAAGATTAGTTCTATGAGTTGTGTTTAATAGGATACAGATGCAATGCATAGATAAATCATGCCGATCCGATACATCTTACTAAAACATTAAAAATAAATATTTACGTAACAAGTTTATATAATTTTGATATAATAAAGAAAATTATGAAATAAAATAATTAATGTTATAAATGGAGGTATAAAAATAATGTATAAAAAAATATTATATGAATAATATAATATTAAAAAATTAATATGCACCATACCAGAATCTAGCAGCGTGTGAAAAGGCAAAAGGGGAGTTTTTTTTTTTTATTATTTTTTTATTTTTTATTTTATTTTTAGTGGGAAGTGTTCAATTGAGTGTTTGACTTAATTGCCGCTAAAAAGTATGGTAGGATTGTGTGTATCCGTGGTACTACTAACCAATAGGTACATTTTTTTTTCTTTTATATTCCCACTATATTTTTTTTACGGATATGTATAAGAATAAAAAAAAATAATTAAAATTTTATTTTTTTAAAATATTTATTATTTATTTTTTTATTATATTATTTAGATAATTAGAGACGAAATATGTATATTAAAAAATGAATAAACATATTATTTAGTAAATATATATTAATTATTAAAGATAAAAATGAAAAAAAATTAATAAATCATTAATTTTAAAAAAATAACAATAAAAAGAAAAAAAATTAAAATAACTATGAATAAAAAATAAAAAGAGTACATTTATGTACATATTATTGATCACAAACTAGTGTCTTGATTGTTATCAACTAGCTAATAATAGTAAAAATAGATAAATTCTCACTTAAGATTTAATACTAAATTAATTTTTATTTTTATTTATTTTTTTCAATTTATCCTCTAATATTAAATATTCAATTTATTTTTATTTACTTTTAAAGTTAATATAATGTTGTATTTTAACTTTTTTTGGATAGAAATATAAAATATTATAAAAATGGTGATCAAATTTAGATTACCTCCAACTCATTCTCTCTCCAAAGAGAAAAAAAATTGTGAATTTGAATAAAAACTTTAGATTAATTTATATTGTTAATTTTATTTTAAGTGGTAAAATATTTTTTTAATTTCTTATGTTTTCATTAATATTTTTTTATTATATTCATTTTTTCTTAATAATATTTATATCATTTGATAATTGTTTTCTACTCAATCCAACAAAAGAAAATCAAACTAAAATTTCATCTTATTCTCAATTTTTTTCTTTTGTTCTTTTATTTGCTTTCCACAACCAAATAAAGAGGTTTAAAAATTAAATTACTTTTTGTGGAAAAATGCATTCCAAGGAAGGCACGACCTATCGTACGGTGCCGGGAAAGAAATATTTTATTATGCAATTATAATAAGATAAAGTTAATTTGAAATGACACGTACACAGCGTGTATGAGACACAACCACAGAAACTCCGTGACCTAAAAAAGAAAGAAAAAAAATCCAATTTATCTCTCTCATAATCATTTCGAAGTGTTTCTCTCTCTAACCGTTCTTATCTGAGTCAGGCAGGTACTATGCAAAGTCATCTATAAGTACGGCAAAAAAAAATCTCTCCCCCACTTTGGACTTTTCACAAACATTTCCTTTTCATAACCTTCCGTTTCCTCTTTCAATTTCAATTTTTTTACTCTCAGCCTCATACCCACTTTCGATTCCAAATTAATTATTTATTATTATGATTTTATTTTTGGATTTTGAAAAAATTGAAAGAAAAAAAAAAAAAAGGGGTGTTGGGTGTGTCGCTTTTGTGAAATGGGTCCTTTGGTTTCGTACTAGCCGCACTTGAATCTGTCCTTCCTCATATAGTCCTCCACCATATGTCATCTGCATTAGATAGAAAAAGAAACTCCTTGCTGAAATTACCACCATGCCCTCCATCTTTCCGTTTAGCATTTCCGTCCTTACTCGTCCTTCTCCGTACCAACAACTTTCTCTCTTTCGTAGGACTAAAATGCCCCCTTCACCAACTCTTTATGTAAATGTAATATGCATTAACTCCAAGGTTAAAAAAACATACCAATTTCTTTCCGGATGTAAAACAATTGAATTAACTAGTATAAAATTATTTTAAATACAAATTTTAAATTAATTATTATCAAAATTAATCATTTTATTGTATATAATAATTTATGATTATACTATATATATATATATACTTTAACTAAATTGTTAATTCGACACTTATATTTTTTAATAAAAATTATTGTTAAATCTCTAATTAGACATAGAATCGAAGCTGGGTAAAAAATATCAGAAAACTTATAAAATACATTCCTTCTTACAATTATGCAATAAATAGCCATTAAAAAATTATTTAATATTAAAAATAATATTTATTTATCATTTTATAATATAAACCACATAAACGGACAAAACTATATGAACTTTATGATGTTTTGATGAAGAAGAAGCTTATCCTCATTGATTAAAAGCATGTTTAGATTTGGAACTACGGTATTCCATTACCCCCGACCTAACTTGTGTAATAAGTAATAATGAAGAGAAAGAGGGACATTTTTGTCTTTCCGCAGGTATCCAGAAACAGTAGAAAGAATACAAGAATGACATTTTAGTCCTCCTCCACTTTCCTCATCTTCTTCACTCTCTATAACTTATATTCCTCCAACCAACAGCAACAACACAACACAATAAACAAACCAAAACCCTTCAACAGATCACAACTAAAACGACGACCCAACCACACCAAAACGCACCGCACCGATGAAGAAGCAGAAGACGCGAAACCACGAAGACGACGACAACGCCAACAACAACAACAACTCGTTCCAGGCTCTCACGGAGGAGCTCCTATTCGCGATCCTCGACTTCCTCGAAACGGCGCCGTCGGCCAAGAAGTCGTTCTCGCTCGCGTGCAAGTGGTTCTACGCGGTGGAGGCGCGGCACCGGCGGGTGTTGCGGCCGCTGCGGGCAGAGCACCTGCCGGCGCTGGCAGCGCGGTACCGGAGCGTGAGCGAGGTGGATCTGTCGCTGTGCCCGCGCGTGGGCGACGGGGCGCTGGCGGTGGTGGCGGGGGCGTACGCGGCGACGCTGCAGCGGCTGGACCTGTCGCGCTCGCGGCGGTTCACGGGGAGCGGGCTGCTGAGCGTGGGCGCGGGGTGCGGCGGCCTGGTGGAGCTGGACCTGTCGAACGCGACGGAGCTGAGGGACGCCGGTGCGGCGGCGGTGGCGCAGGCGAGGAACCTGCGGAAGCTGTGGCTGGCGAGGTGTAGGTTGGTGACGGACATGGGGATTGGGTGCATCGCGGTGGGGTGCAGGAAGCTGAGGCTCATTTGCTTGAAGTGGTGTGTGGGGATTGGGGATTTGGGTGTTGATTTGGTTGCCATCAAGTGTAAGGAGCTTTCTTCATTGGATCTCTCTTATGTGCCTGTGAGTTTCTCTCTCTCAATCTGGCTCTGGATTATTTGTGCTTCGTTTGTTGATTTGGTTTCATTGGCTTATTTTTAGTCACTAATTATAATTATAATTATAATTAGTTCTAATTAATAATTGTATTTTTTAAAAGCTTTACAGAGGCAGATTTTGGTAAAGGAGAAAAAGATTTAGTGAATGTTTGAATTTAGAGATTGGTGTAACTGTAATGAGAAGTAATCCTGAGATTGCTGTAGCAAAATAAAATGTGCTGCGGTTTTAATTTTGCAGGTTGGATTAGTGTGGGGGGTTTATATTACGCTAACTGTGTTTTGTTTTTGTATCTTGTTTTATGTTTATTTGCAAATTAAGAAACGTTTTTTATCTTTACATATTGTAAATAAAAGATAAAAGGTCATCTTAAATATAAATTTTAAAGTAATTATTTTGAGAATTAATAATTTATTTTGCAGTGAATGATGATAGGGTATTCTGATTGAATTCTTAATAATTTGGTCTCGTTTTATTTTAATGGGTTGGTAGTCTGATGGGGGAAAAGATTTTGGTGGTTGTCGTTGGGGAAGGGGAGATGTTAGGTTTTTTGGTATGAAACCACATGTATCATTGATGGGAGACAATATTGTTTGAGCTAGATGGAATGTTAGGGTTGTTATTGTTGAAGGGGCGACAAGAAGTGTTTATACGCCTCATGTGAGGGGAAATTAGAGAAGATCAGTGTTTGAAAGGAAAATAATAAAAATGGTGGTTCAGTTAGTTTTTGTTTTTCAACAAGTGGAGTTGACGTGTGAAATTCTTAGTTTTTTTTTTTTTTTTTTTTTGTAAAACAGTGATGGTTCAGCATAAGCTTTGGTAAACTGTTGTTTTGAAGTTCAGTTGGTTTAGTCGGCTTGATTGTGCTGTTTCTTGAATGAGTTGTGTATTTGAAATGATCTGGTTAATAATACTAGTTTTGTTGTACAGATTACAGAGAAATGTCTACCGTCAATCTTCAAATTGCAACATCTGGAAGATTTGGTCCTCGAAGGGTGCTTTGGCATTGATGACGACGGCCTTGATGTCAATCTCCTAAAACAAGGGTGCAAGACATTGAAGGTATGGGGGTGTTTATTTTTTATCTATTAATGTCATAGATAACATAAGCAACATAGATAACTTCAGCATAAACTGTTTTAAATGATGTACCTGTTTTATTCTTATTTAATTTCCTTCCTTTTATGATTTGGTTGAGTGGGAATTTAGGTAGAAATTGTATTTTGTTTTGTACATTTTGGTTCTATCCTATTAAAGACATTACCTTGGTTGCAATTTCAATCCGACATCTGCAGTTAGCCTAAACTATTTGGTTGCATCAATCAATTTAATTTTCATTTTTCTTGCCTTTAGAGTTTACTTGTTTTCTTGATCTAACTTGTAATTTGACAAATTCTCTGCCTTCTGCAGAAACTTGATATCTCAGGTTGTCAAAACATAAGTCATAACGGACTACCAAAGCTAACAAGTATTTCTGGGGGTTTAGAGAAACTCATTTTAGCAGATGGTTCTCCTGTAATTCCTCTCTCTCTCTCTCTCTCTGTATATGTATTGGTTTATTATTATTTGAACATGGCGGATGAAAATGTCAATTTTAACTAATTGTTGTTATTTGATTACCCAGGTCACCCTTGCTCTTGCTGATGGTTTGAATAAACTCTCCATGTTGCAATCAATTGTATTAGATGGCTGCCCTGTTACTTCTGAAGGATTAAGGGCTGTTGGAAATTTGCGCATTTCACTTAGGGAGCTGAGTCTAAGCAAATGTTTGGGAGTGACAGATGAAGCTCTCTCATTCCTTGTGTCAAAACACAAAGATTTAAGGAAGCTTGACATCACATGCTGTCGCAAGATAACTGATGGTTCCATTGCAAGCATTGCAAATTCATGCACAGGTCTCACTTCTCTCAAAATGGAGTCATGCACACTAGTTCCACAGGAAGCATTTGTCTTGATTGGGCAGAAATGCCCTTATCTCGAGGAGCTTGACCTAACAGATAATGAAATTGATGATGAAGGTTTGTCTCCATCCCAACTCCTTTGGAAATGTTGACTACCACATCAGCTGCTGTACTTACCTTGTTTATTTTGCAGGTCTTATGTCCATTTCTTCTTGTTCTAGTCTCTCCAGCTTGAAAATAGGAATCTGCCTGAACATAACTGACAGAGGACTTGCCTATGTTGGCATGCGTTGCTCAAAACTAAGGGAGCTGGATTTATATAGGTTTGTGATAAAGAAAAATTGTGAGCATTTGCTTTTCTTTTCATAAGATGAATTATATTTGCATTCTTTTAACTTTTGGTTTAGCATAATCTAGTATGGCTATTGAATCAGGTTGAGTTGTTTAGTTAAATAAAAGGGGACATAATTTGCCTTAGTATTTTGTATTCATGTATAAACATCTGAAATATTGACTTATATTTAATACAGTCTAGCCAACTGGCTTTAATGAAATTTGACATAGATTGTTGACAAAACGAGTCTAACAACAGTCTCAGATCTAGATTGTCTAACGCATCTTGCCCCCCTAATTCCCTGTAACAGATGCAAGTGCAACACATGAATATCCTATGATTGATGTCAAAATGAAGATTTTTGTTCGCTGTCATGAGAGATTGTTTTCCCCCTTTTCAGGTCTACAGGAGTAACTGATTTGGGCATTTCAGCAATTGCTCAAGGCTGCTCTGACCTTCAAATCATAAATACATCCTATTGTACTAGCATCACGGACAGGGCGCTAATCTCCTTATCAAAATGTTCAAATTTGACGACACTTGAAATTCGTGGATGTCTTCTCGCTACATCTATAGGTCTGGCAGCTATTGCAATGAATTGCAGGCAACTAAGCCGTCTTGACATAAAAAAGTGTTACAACATTGACGACAGTGGCATGATTCCACTAGCTCATTTCTCCCAAAATCTAAGACAGGTATTTTTCTCATCTCTCACATTTCTGGGAAACATCAAAGATGCAAGAAATGGTTGCTAAGATTCTGATATTCTTATTATTATTATTTTTATTTGCAGATAAATTTGTCATATAGCTCAGTTACAGATGTGGGGCTTCTGTCACTCGCTAGTATCAGTTGCCTTCAAAGCTTCACTGTTCTTCACGTGCAAGGCCTGGTTCCAGGAGGACTGGCTGCAGCCTTATTAGCATGTGGAGGGCTTACAAAAGTGAAGCTTCATATTTCACTAAGATCCCTGTTACCTGAGCTACTTATCAGACATGTAGAAGCACGTGGCTGTTTGTTTGAATGGAGAGATAAAGAGTTTCAGGTATATTTTCGTCTGGTTCTTGACTTACGAATCCAACCGTTTCTTTCCCTCCCCTCAAAGCTATGTGACATCACCGTGTCTTAGCACTCATTCACTTCTGCTAATGAGAACCAGAAGGCTTCCTCACATTCTAATTTTAATGGAACCATCAGTTGTTTAACCCTATCAGTTTCTAATAGATAATGATTATCACACTTATATAAAGAGTTGGGGTTAAGGATCAGTTAAGTGGGGTAATGTTGTGTGGTAATTAATATTTTTTGTTTGGTTGCTGACGCTCTTTCTGTTTCATGGGCAGGCTGAATTGGACCCGAAGTGTTGGAAATTACAGTTAGAAGATGTGATGCAATAGGATTTTCTGAGGTTGTTTGAAGTTTGATAGAGTTAAAGACGTCTCACATGGCACGTGAAATACAAAGTTTTAGAATAAGTTGGAATCCATCCACTTTTCTCTATTACACTACTAGAAATGAAGAAAGTAGTGTGAAAAATGTCAGAAGTCTTGTCTGAATAGAAAGAATTTTGGACACAACTCTAATTACGTTGACCATGATAGAATGTTGAAGCGAGGGCAATGGCTTGTGCGTGTGAAAAGTGGGGAATCAAGTGTATAAAAAGTAAAATCTTTTGCTTAACCTTTTTTTTTTTTTTTCCTGCAAAAGGCAGGATTAGTCAAATGTATAACAACCTACCTAACGTCTTTCATTTATTTATTTATTTTGGGAGAGGAGTGGAATTGGAAATGTTCAGACTTCAGAGGATGGAAAAGCAGAGCCATCCAATGTATGAGAACATAGTAACTTCTGTTCAAGTTTTTCTTATCTTCATGCAGTTGTGTGAACTAATGGAAATTTAATGAATAAAACTTGGTAACTTTAATTTTTTTTTTCTAATTTAATTTTTTCTTATCCAATTAGAGGTTGTTCATATTTGAGGAATTCGCATTTCTATCTGGATCCTTCATCTCCAAGCTGTAACTTGATTCATACCTATCCAAATGAAGAGATATTGGTCTTGTTAAAATTACAAGAGAAATAGCTACAATCTGGCAGAAGTTAGGACCAAATTCGACTTCTAACTTGGTCAAAATTGCACCAGATAGGGGAGATGAGGGACACCATTTAATGTCTTGTGGAAATAATATACTTAATCAAATAGAATTCAATCGAAAAAAATTGAATTATAATTTCAATCCAAAACTAACAATGATTTTAAAGTGATTTAATTAACCTAAGTTATTGATTGATTAACTCAGACTCATTTTTTTTATCAATCAACCCTACTTATAGTCATTTCAATTATAACAAATTAAATCTAATTTAATTAAAATTAGGTCAATCAAAATCGTGAAAGACATAGAAAAACATAATTGAAGAGAAAAGTAAAATGAGTCAAATTTATTTGATAAGTTAAAAGGAAAATTGCACTAGCATCTCTTGTGGTTTCTTAAAATTTCACATGATAACATTGCCCTTTTAATGTTTATAGTAAACCCCTATGAGAATACACAATATAATGGGTTTATTATTTTAATATTGGGTTAGTGTAATTAGAATGTAATTTTCTCTAAGATAAAATCGTAAGTTAATCCTTAAGTTTTTGAAGCAATTAAATGAGAGAACTAAAATTTAAAGTACTTAAGTTAATTTTATTTTATGAGAGAAGTTTAATATATTTTGTCTCTTTCATTTACATGTACTTATTAAAAAATTAATCTAAACAAAACATTAATTGATTAACTTCATCTAATACTCTTATTAGATGTTGAAATAACCATAGAATTTTCTGAAGATTTTCCTAGGGAATTCATTTGTCAAAGTTTTAGGTTGTTGTTATAGACCTTTAGGTGTGACCTTAGCATTTTCTTCTGTTGTTGTTAAATTTGATTCATCGAAAGAAGTAAGCAAAGTGAAGGAATGATCAAAATTGAAGAGAACAAAAGTCTTATCAAAAGAAGATTAGTCCAACGGATCTTTCATTCTTTTGCTTTGTGTATAGGCAAAAATGACATATAACTAAACAATTCAGGTCCCACCGGGAGTCGAACCCAGGTCGCTGGATTCAAAGTCCAGAGTGCTAACCACTACACCATGGAACCAAGAACAGGCAGGTGCATTTACTAAATTGAATATTTATCTTGTAATTCATTTTGTCATGCAAAGACAACAATTAAAAAAATATGTTTTTGTTGTTAATAATGCATGAAAAAGTACCATAAAATGGATGGATTATATTATAGATAAAAATCTACACCAACAAATTCTATGTGTTTGTTAAAACAAACACTTTTCATATAAAGATTAATCATCAATTTTTTATGTTGGATAATTTGATTAAGAGAAGAGTTATAATAATATCAGGATAATTTTTACTAAGTATTACATTGTTTAATAACTTTATATTAAATGTGAATCTTGTAAATCTAATCGTTAGATTAAAAATTCATATAATTTTATATATTTATATCAAATTTTGTTAAAATTGAATAACAACTTAAAGGTAATCAAAGTGTTCATATTTTAGATATTTAAAATATATATATTTTAAAATTGAACAACAACTTGAAGATAATCATAACCCATGATTTTATTATTTAGTATTTATTTTATTTTTAAAGTTTAAATAATTAATTATTTTTAATTTTTTACATCATGGTTTCTTCTTTTTTTCTTCTCAAATATTATTTGTAATTATTTATATATTAATTTTTATCTTAACTTTCAGTTATTTATATATTCAAATTAATCATTTATTATTTTGAAATTATTATTTTATCTAAATTTAAAATAGTTATATATTTCTACTCTATTTTAATTGGTTACATATATTTCTTTTGTGATTTTAAAGTTTATTTAAACTTAAAATTCAAATATATCATACAATATATTTACTAGTCATGTTCTTGCATTGATGTTTCAATTAAAAATTCTAATCTTATTACCACATGAAAAAAAAAACTTACATTAAATTATATATTTGAGTGAATATTTGTAAAATTGATTTTGAAATGAAGTAATTTATGTTTGAGTGTTTTTATTTTAAATAGTAATAATTTTTTAATATAACATAAAGTCGTATTTCACGGATATAACTTACTCATTTTCAATTTTTTTTAAGTATCTATTTTGATTTTTTTTCATACAAATTACCCCATTTTAGTTAAAAAGCAAAAAAAGTTTCAATTTTAAAATGAAATCTAGAAAAGTTTGTAAACGAGCCCCACCGAAGATTTAGAACAATCCAACGAAGAGGTAGTTGGCGTCAGTTTTCACTTTTCAACGTGTACTCGTTTACTTTTCAACTGTCCAATTAATGTTAAAATTAAAAGAAAACACTTTAAGGTTCGTCGCTGGATTCAAAGTCCAGAGTGCTAACCACTACACCATAGAACCAGTCACAAAATAATTAATTTTATCAAAACAAAATAATTTTTTATTTTTCCATGTAAAGAAAAACAATTTTAGTTACTTTTTTATTTGGTTAAAAATTCGACATCTCTGAAACCTTCGTGCTTAGTGTGAATCTTCTTGGACTCATTATGACTCACAAAAATACTTAGATTGAGGTTTTGTGAAACCACCCTCATGCATCTATAAACAATTTATTTAAATTCTCTTAATTTTTAGTTCATCATGTTTATCAAAGTATATGCATATTTATATAAAAGCGTCTCATGAAGTCCAAACTGCACACATTATTCATCAACCTTCACTCAATCATTAAATTCTTCCATCAAGAACCCTAATATCATATAAACTCAAACAACAATTCATTGAATTACTCAGTCAACTCAAACAATCTAAACATCACACATAGAAACTTCACAGTATTCACAACCCATCTAGAAAATAAACATACAAGCAAGATCATCAAACAACAAAAACCTAGCTATAGGGTTGATGTTCAGTCTTGCTACCTACAATTTAGAAAAACAAAAACTCAAGAAAGATATAAATGCAAAATAAATAAAGTTATAAATTAAAGGAATTTAGAAATAAAACTAAGAAAATGGTATATGATAAAAAAAATTAGTATTATAGATATAGATATACATATTTTAATCATTCAGTAATGGTAATTTATTAATTATTAATTTATTTGTATTTCAGTTTATTTCGAAAATTCTATAAATAACTACAAAAATTAAATTTAAAAGATTGAAAATTCAAAAAGTCAAGAAACATATAAATAAAATAAAATAAATAAAGTAATAAACTAAAATAATTTAGAAATAAAAATTAAGAAAATTTCATGTGATTTAATAAAAAATATTTAGTATTATAGATACATACATATATACATACATATATATATATATATATATATATATATATATTCATTATTTCATAATGGTAATATATTAATTATCAATATAATTGTATTTCTGTGTTGATTAAAAAGTTCTTTAAATAACTATAAAAGTATATTTAAAATATTGAAATATAAAAAAGGTGACAAACATATAAATGAAATAATAAAGTAAAAAAATAAAACTAAAATTAATAAAATGGCATGTGACAATTTTAATAAAAAATATTTAGCATTATATGTATATTATTATTTCATAATGGTAATTTATTAATTATCAATATAATTTTATTTCTGTTTATTAAACAAATTCTATAAATAAATATAAAAATATTCAATATTAAATTGAAAATATTGAAATATCAAAAGCCAATAAACATCTAAAATGAAATAAATAAAGTAATAAATTAAAAATTAAAGTTGAAAATAAGAAAATGGCATCTGACAATTTTAATAAAAAATATTTTTTATTATTTATATCCATTATTTTATTATTTATATTCATTATTTCGTAATGGTAATTTATTAATTATCAATACAATTTTATTTCTGTTTATTAACCAAATTATTTAAATAACAATAAAAATATAAAAAAATAATAATAAATTTAAATATTGAAATATCAAAAATTCAAGAAACATATAAATGAAATAAATAAAGTAATAAAATTAAAAATAAAATTAGGAAAATGGCATGTGACAATTTTCATATAAAAAATATATATTATTATAGAAATAGTATTTTTAATCATTTTATAATGAGAATTTATTAATTATCAATGTAATTTTATTTCCTTTTGTTGAAAAAAAATTCTATAAATAAATATAAAATATAAAATTTAAATTTAAAATATTGAAATATGAAAAATTCAAGAAACATATAAATGAAATAAATAAAGTACTAAGTTAAAAAAGTTAAAATTAAGAAAACGGCATGTTACAATATAGTAAAAATATATATAGTTAGTATATTGTAGATATAGATATTTTCATCATTTCACAATGGTAATTTATTAATTATTAATATAACTTTATTTCTGTTTATTCAAAATATTCTATAAATAACTATTAAAATATAAAAAAAAATTAAATTAAATATACTGAAAATTCACAATTTCAAGAGACATATAAGTGAAAAAAAAATACAGTAATAAATAATAATAAAATAAAGAAAATTTCCACGTGAGAATTTTAATAAGAAAAGCCCTCTATTGTTATATAGATAGTTAAATACATAGGCATATTTTCATCATTTCATAATGAGCTTAGCTTCACAAGTGCTTGAAAAAATATTTAAAATAATTTATATTAAACATTTGTCTTGGATTTGAAATCTATGCTTTGTAACATTTACTATGCTTTAATGATCAATTTAATAATAAAGTATAAATTGTTTGGAAAAGTAGTACACTTTTTTAATAATAAATTTTAGTATGATAAATAGATAAATATATAAAGATATAAAATAATTAATATGATAGAGATAGAATGAAATGCAATGTCATAAAAAAGTAACATAACTCAGTTGTTTGGTATTCTGTTTAATTAGTTTTATATAAATCACTTACTGGTGCATTCTGTTGAATCACATGTTGGTGTTATGGTGTACTCGTTTTACATAAATTTCATTAAATAAAAAAGAGAGTAAGATTATTAGATAAAATTTATTTAATAATAATAAAAATTCCAAAAAAACCGTGTCGTTGCTGAGTCTCCAATTTCTTTGAGAAAGCGATGCCACATAGTGAGACAGATGGCTACATTTAAGGCTCCAATTTTCTCGGGGTCAGGATTCCCAGCGGCACGCTTTTCCATGCATTTGCTTTATCAACAAATCAAAGCCGTTGTTTAGAGTCTGAACCATTCCATTTCTATTCAACGCTCACGATTGTCTCGTAGAGTGAACTTACGGTAGGCGCCACCGCACAGAATCATGGTGGAGCCGCCATAGTGTTATGTAATAACATGGTATCCTAGTCAAGTCAAACCCACAACCTTTGACCCATTTTTGTTGTGCTTTTTTTTCCACGGTCAAAAGTCAACCTTTAGCTACTCAGTCATAACTCAGAAACAGCTTCCAAAGACATGGGTGGTGTGCATGGCCACATCATAAAATGCATCATTCCCTCTCTTTTCTCTTCTCATTTTCAAACCCATCAAACAACAAACAACAAACAACAACCTCAATTCTTGAGCATGTCTTTGAGTTTCACTGACCTCCTTTCAACCAACAACAGCAATAGCATGACCATGGATGATGATCCTTTTGGACTTGAATTTGCCAACAACTTCAAGTCCCTTCAACCTCTTTCACTGCCTCACTCTTCTCCTTCATCAATCTTCCCTTCTTACTCTAGTTTCCCACCTGGTTTTGGCCCAACACAGCCATTGAATTCACCTCTCTTACTTTCTTCTCAAAATGTAAGTTACATTTAATTATCATTATTATTACAAATTTACAATATTACCCTGGAAGAAGAGTTTTGTTATATGTAGTTGTCTTATCCTAACACCCGACTCGATTGTCTTATGGTGAAGTTAATTGTGGTCTTGTATTGATTTTTTTTTCAACTCCAATGTAATGTTTTTGGTGACAACTAATTGTGGGTTATTCTTGTTTTATGTGTTGGTTTAGGTTCCTGCATCTTACCCAGATGAGTCATCTTCTAGCATGAACTTCAACATGAGAAACAGTTCAACCGAGGAAGAACAAGGTAGAAACTACTCTGACCACTCTTTC